ATCCGCAGGGTGAGCGCCGGAGCCGGCACCCCCAGGGAACCCCCGGCATTCCCAGCCACGGGACGTCCCCAAACCCTATGGCAACCCCATGGCACCCAATGGGCAGCTCCAGCACGCTCTCGGGATACCCCCAATGAACCCCCGTGGGACATCCTTGGATATCGCATGAACACCCCCAGATGTCTCCACGGGCACCCTGAGGACACTGCCATGGCATCCCGTCAGCAGCCCAGGGATCCCATAAGATACCCCCAGGACATCCCTGGGCATCCCCAGGACACCATCCAGGACACGCAACAGGACATCTTGAAGCATCACATGATTAACCCCCAAAACACCCCCATGGGTACATCCAGGTACCACATGGCAGACCCCAGGAACAACCCCTCAGACACCCCCATAGGCCATCCCCAGGCACCCCGAGATACTCCAAGGTGGGGCACACTGTACCACCGGGGTGGCTGCAGCCTCCCGTGCTGGGGCGTCCCAGCACACTGTAGCCCTTGGGCCAGATCCAGTCCCCAGAACATCCCCCTGCCCCTGGCTTGCTCCAGCCCTCACCCAAGGCAGGGCACACCCCCGGCCCAGCCCCCTGAACCAGCCCCAGTCCCCGCTGTGCCCACAGGAGACGGGGAACAATGAGGTGCTGTTCATGCACCTGGACCTGGCCAGCCTGCGCTCAGTGAGAGCCTTTGCCAGCACCTTCCTGCGCCAGGAGCCCCAGCTCCACCTCCTCATCAACAACGCAGGTGAGTGCTGGGACCCCAAATCCCCTCTGCACCCAGGGGCACCACCACAAGCTGCCATTTTCTCCTCACTCCTCAGGGGTGAGCGCCGGGGGCACGACAGAGGATGGCTTCAGCCTCCCCTTCCAAGTGAACCACCTGGGCCATTTCCTGCTGACCCAGCTGCTGCTGGAGCGGCTGCGGAGCTGCGCTCCCAGCCGGGTGGTCATGGTGGCCTCTAGTGCCCACTGCGCCGGCCGCCTGCATCCTGAGTCCCTGGGCAGGCCACCCTCGGGGCTGTTCTCCACCTTCCAGGACTACTGTGACAGCAAACTGGCCAACGTGCTGCACGCCCGCGAGCTGGCCACGCGCGAGCAGGGCACACAGGTCACCTGCTACGCCGTGCACCCAGGTAGGAGCCAGCTCACCCTTGGTGTCTGTGATCTGCACACCTCTGTGTCCTGTGGTGTCTCTCTGTGAGGGGTGGTCTCTTGCTTTGCAGCCTTTTCACAGGGAATTCCTGCATGGGGAGCATCTCTCCCTTGCCCGGTACGGGCCTTTGCATGTGTCTCTTTATATGGTGTGTCCCTTTTCATGGTGTGTCCTCTATCTTGGCATGTCCCTTTGCACCTTGTCCCCTCGCACTGTCTTCCTTGATACAGTGTGTTCCTTCTAGTGTTCTTTTGCATAACATATCTCTTTATACAGCGTGTCCCTTTGCATGGCATCTCCCTTTGCACCTGCATGGGGCTCGCCCACACACCTCCCGAGCCTTGTGCAGCCAAAATGTGGCAATGCCTGGGGACAATCACAGCCGTGCTGCCCATGCCAAGGCCACCCTGGCCATCTCCCAGCACCCGTCCATTGGGACACACAGGGGGACACTGTGCGGGGACACCCAACGTGTGCCAATCCCCCACAGGGTTTGTCAACACCTCGCTGTTCCGGCACGCGCCGCTGTGGCTGAAGCCGCTGCTGCTGCCGCTGGCCTGGCTCCTGTTCCTGGACGTGTCCGAGGGCGCACAGGTGGTGCTGGACTGTGCCACACAGGACGGCCTCGAGCCCTTCAGCGGCCGCTACTTCACCGACTGCGGCCCTCAGCTGCCGTGGCCAGCGGGGCGCGATGACCGCCTGGCACGGGCACTCTGGGAGGGCAGCGAGCGCCTGGTGGGGCTGGGGGCAGCGGGGGGACAGCAGCAGGGACATCAGGAAGGACATCAGGAGGGTCCCACTGCTCCCACAGCACAATAAAGGTGATGACAAGGGACTCCGGGAGTTCCCACTTGTTGGTTGGTCGGTTGGCTTTGGAGCCAAAAATGTGTGTGGGTGTGGAATGGGGGTGAGCGAGGGGAACCGGCCCTTGCACACCCACCATGCCCTGCACGTGCAGCAGAGCTGGGAGGGTGACAGTGAAGGAGTGTGCAAGGGGATGTGGGTGT